GATGTGGAACTAGGGGAACTCTCCTCCACTGCTGGTGGAAATGCAAGCTTGTACAACCACTTTGGAAATCAATATGGTGCTTTCTTAGAAAATTGGGAATCAATCTCCCCCAAGATCCAGCTTTTCTTAACTTTAAATACTCCCATCTACCTTTGTCTCTGAGCTTTTTCCTTTCCTTACTTGTGTATATCTTATTCTTACTCATGATGGCTTGTGGCTAGATGGCTCACCCCTAGCATCCTCCTCTCCTTGTTCTCTTGCTCTACCTTTCTTCTCCCAGAATTCTCCTTCTTATTTATTCTCTCTGCCTGCCAGCCTCACCTATCTTTTTGCCTGCCTTGATATTGACCATTCAGCTTTATTAGACCTGTGTTAGACAGGCAAAGTAACACAGCTTCACAGAGTTAAACGAATACAACATAAAGGAATGCAACACATCATTGCATCATTAAGCAAATGTTCGACAGCATAAACAAATGTAACATATCTTAAAATAATATTCTACATCTTAAAATAACGTGTGTGTTTTGCTTGTATGTATGTCTGTGCACCATGTGCGCAGAGAGTTGTGTTTGATTCCCTGGCACTGTAGTTAGACAGTTATGAGCCACCATGTGGGTGCTGGGAGGAACAGTCAGTGCTTTAACTGCTGAGCCATTTCTCCAGCTGTTTATTTATTTTGAGAGAGGGTCTCACCATAGGCATGGAATTTAATAGGTAGAACAGGCTGGCCTTGAACTTACAGAGACCTCCCTGTCTCTGCCTCCAGAATGTTGGAAGAAAGGCATCCATCACCATGCACTAAGTAGTCAAGAGCATTAGATGCTCTTGCAGCAGACCCTGGTTGGGTTCCCAGCACCCACGTGGCAGCTTACAACTGCTTGTGCCTCCATCTCCAGAGGATGCACCCCCCTCTTCTTGACTCTTCAGGTACCAGGCACACAGGGAGTGTGCATACAGTCATGGAGAGAAACACTCATACACAGAAAATAATTTTTTTAAAATCTTTAAAAAACTATATTTACGTATATGCATTTGTGTGAATGTCTTATGTGAAGGAACCCACAGAGGATAGAAGAAATAGTTGAACCCCCATAGTTGAAGTTACAGGGGTTGTGAGTCACCAGACCTTAGTGCTAAGTTTTGTGTCCTCTGTAAAAGAAGTATACAACTTAGCTCTCAAGAATCTCTCTTCAGTCTACCCCCCACAACACACACTT